CAAAATCTTCACACGAGCTGATACAATTTAACTTGTTCATTAATTCAATTTAAAATGTGTTCACTGCATGAGAATGATTTTCGCATAAGGTTAAATTTTTGCAAGCAAGATCTCTATTTGACTTAATACTGCTGCTCTACTGTGGTACTTATATTACTCTACTTATTTCTCAATATTTGGTTCTTTACTTAATAGCAAAACTTGGAATTCAACATGTAAAGCCACGCTTGATCCGATAAAAATTCTCATAACTTTCAACCACCACATATGTACTGCACCTAACAGGTCTGTAGCACAAATGAGTACGTCTTCATTCGCAGTGCAGTGAATGGTCAACGAACAGTGTTTGCTATAACTTTAGAGCGAATTTGGACGATATAAGTCATGATATATGGTGTTAAAATGTTTGCAAAAATAAAGAGATTATTCTCAATACTCAAAATATGGCATAATATGTGAAAAAGTTGATTGTAATGAATGCTGTCAACACAGTATTTTTTATTTTCTATTTCATCAAATAATGATGAACAAGAAACGCAAAGATGAAGTATGGTTAACATGTTGAACAATAAATACTATTGCAGGCTTTTGAAGATTTGATTTTTATTACATCTAACTATATTGAACGATGTGAAAGGATGTATAACAAGGAAGTAACAAAACAGTCTACTGTTTCTTACTGCTTATTATTAAAATATTAATAATTCATAATTTTGCAATTTGAACTATTGCAGAAAAAAACTTTAAAAAGTAAATTAGAAAGTTGGCAAAAAACTGAAATAAAGATGACATGTAGAAGTGGAAAAAGTTAAATTCGATACAGTGAAAAGGGAGATGGATAAGTAATGGAACGTAAAAAAATGTTATGCGCAGTAAGTTACATGCATTAAACACCGAAGAAGGTTGAACTCTCATATGAAGCACTCGGAGACTTGAATCTAAAAAATTTGAATATATTAAAAACATTATTGGATCGTTAGACTAAAAAGGTATGGATAGCAGAGTAAATGATGAAAGAAAATTATTCAAGGCTTTAAGCAAACAGAACAAAGGCGAACATCACATGATAATTAATGAAGAATAAATATGAAATATTCACAAATTTGGACTGAAAATCAGTACATTTGTTTTTTGAATTCAAAAGAACGCAGTTTTTGATTTGCTGCTTTAATAGCAGGTAACAAAAATGATAAAAAAGTCTGCATGATGTGGATGTCAAATTACATGCAATATATTTACAAATTTAAATCACTTCGCATATCAGAAACAAAATAAACTAATATTTAGACTGAATTATCATTTAGACTAATTTTAGCAGTGATTAAAATAGTGTTAAAAAAGTTGGAAAAAGAACAGATCCCATTGAAAGTATAAATTGTTTGCAAAATTTTTATCATAAAATTAAACAGTGAAGTTTTTTGAAATAATAGAAAATGTGTCCTCCATAAATGATGTTTACTACATCATATTTTGTTATATAAATAATAGTAGCAAAGAGAGGCAGTTCTAAGACTGATAAATAAAAGAAAGCTAGGAAACAAGTATATGAGGAAAATTGAAATTAAATTCGTTTAGTGCCTTGAGAAAATACAATTTCAAATCATTTATACATTAAAGATATGCTTCATAATTGAATACTTGAAACAGTTTTTAATTGTGAGAAAAATCTATGCACCAAATTTAGAAGCAAAAATTAAACTTGCATAATGTATCACATAAATACAAATACGAAATAGTTCACCAATTTCTATGTTGTACTTCGCTCAATTATAGAACATATTTAAGGACTGACCTGGTACGTATATAGGAAAATTGCTACGCTACTAACTTTGTTTAAAGAAAAAAGCTTACTTAATAATCTCTTTTGTACAACACTTTCTAAACAGATTCAGTAAATACTGACAGTGAAGAATAATATTGAGAATCCAAATGCTTATTAATTGCAGCGAAAGCAAAAGTATGGTCAATACATATTAAAGGCTACTTTCCATTCTAGTTCTTTTGAAAAACATTATTGAAACGAAGAAAACATACCCGTAGAAAACTTGAGAAAATAGAATGAAAGCAAAAACATAAGACATGCTAGCTTGGTTTCGAGAAAGAAATTTCAAAGTAGCAAAATGAACAAAAAAATACAAAATTATAGTTCATCTATGACATTTGATATGGATTATCATAAGTGGCCAGAAATTCTAGGGCAGCCTGGTAGCAAAAGTGATACTGGTCTTTATCCTGAACCATATTTTGACGTTCAGTCCGAAGTAATTTTACAGTGGTAAACACGTCCACGACATGTTCAAGTTTCATCCGGTCGATAATCACGCTAAGAGCAATAAAGACTCCAGTCCGGCCAGCTCCAGTTGAACAGTGCACCGTAATTGGTCCATCTACACCAAACTGAGTTTTAGTACGATGAACCTGCAATAACGTTATATGAAAATCAATCAGAAATGAAGCAGTAATGAAGGAATGAAGTTACAATGCAAGAAAATTTATTTGTCAGATAAAGCAATGAAATTGAATACTAAAAATAAAGATCATAAAGTGAAGTAAGAAAAAACCTGATGAATAAAGTCAATAAAAAGTTCCGCAGGTTTTGGTGGACAATGATCAGGCCATTCAACATACTGAAAATGCCTCAGCGTTCTTGTTTGACCACACTAAAATTAATCATAAATTTTTTCAAATGTAGTGAAAATATGCTAACAAATTAATTACAACCGAATAAAATAAATCAAATAGATAAAAACATACGCCAAATAAATTAGAGGTTTCGGTAATAAAGAACAATTAGTAGTTTTTAATACTCTGAATAAAATAAATGTGACAGAAAAGAGAAAATATGATCATCCACTCTGAACTTGGGTACTTTTTACTTGAGAAATTCAGTAAGCAAAAATTGCAAACTGTATCGTGGAAAAAAACAAAAAATATGAGGAAGATAATCTCATGTAAGTGACACTAGCAATTTACTACTTCACTTTGTTTGAATATTCTACCTGGGTATCAGTTATCCTAAATTCTCGGAGCACATATTGTGACATATTATACTCCGCAATTGGTTCTACCACTAAATGTCCAAACTGCGCCCCCACTTCTACTGGCCAGTATTCGCAACATTTTTCCTGAAACAACTGATATTAAAGTTTGTAATCTCATTTTAAACAAAGCACAGAAAAATTTGCTCATGTCTCACATATTCTGCTAATTTATTACTGTTCGAATATTTGAGAAGAAATAAAACGATTGTGATAGAAATAGACTTTATATATTGACCTCAGCATTTGATTTAGCCCTCACTTCTTAATTTCAGGACGTTATTTCCAGAAATCCTTCAAATCAGTATAATTCTATTAGATGAGCACAAAACAGTTTCCCATTGTTATGTGCTAATTTAGTTCTTTAAATAATAAATTTGCAAGTTTTAAATGAACCAAAGAAATAATTACCCTGCCAATTTCCACCGTTCGAATGAGCATAACAATAATGGATGATTCATGTTCCCAGATCATCCGCCAAAAATCATTGACCGTATAAGGCATTGGACCCTGTGTCGCAATATAAGCACCACGTTGCCTGAATTTATTCCGTCAATAAAAAATATCAACTGAGATATCATTCTAGCAGAGTAAAAGAAATAAGAACAGCAAAAAAATAATTAAAATACAATAGTAACATTCAAAAAAAAGAAATTATTCTATGCAGCAAAAAGTAAAGATCTTAAAGTAATAGTTAAAAAAGAGAGAGGTCAGAAGAATAGAAAAATCAACCTGTAACCATCAATCCAAGATGCATTGATGTAATCAGAACCTTCTTCACCAGGAATAGGGCAAAGAATGACACGAGACGAGTCATATGGTACCATATTCACAAGACGATTTTTCTGTCGATTAACAGATAAATTTGCGACACTACATCGAGAATTCGACATTTTCAATGTTGCCAAATGCTGCAAATTTCGAATAGCAAATATACTGTGCTTTAACAAGAAAATATTAGCCAATAAAATGGCAAAAATAAAAACTACTTATAAGTAAGCTTGAGAAAGCAATATATTAGGCAAAAAACTGTAGTATTTGAAATGTTTCTTGCATCAGCGAGTACATTTGAGAGAAATTACTGAAAAGTAAGTGCAAAAAATAATAATGAAAAATATCTAATAAATTAGAAATCTAACCCTGAACTCAAGTTCCATAGCAGAAACTTGATCAATGGGTTGAATTTGCATAAGAGCTTGCACATGTGTGTAAAGTTTGCAAGCAGGAACCTCAGTGGAACCAGACTGTACAGCATCAAGCACAGCATCATGAATGAAGATATACTGGTCATCGGTCTGAAAAATTTCACACTTTTTCCAAACACAACATTAGTGATTTCATTTCAAATATGTTAAGTAGTTAAAATATACAAAATTATGTAGCATATAAATAACAACAAAAGTAGAGGACAAATTTTTAAACACAACAAATGCCATCAATCTATCGTAATATAATATTCGAGTTCGAGTCAATATCTTCATATGTACCTTAAAACTAAAAATTAATTACTTACTTGAACCATATATGACCTTTGAGACCTTAAAGCAGTAACGCAACCATAAATATCGACCGTATTTTCGTACCGTAACCGTTCCAACATGCAATCAATCACGATAAAAGCACCTGTTCGACCAATTCCGGCACTAAAACAAGCATAACTATTGTTTGTCTGCATTAATTATCAAGTCTTTTAAATCGTAAAATTTTTCCAGTATTACCTGCAGTGAGAGATGATTGGGCCTGCATCAGATTGATTCAACGTCTTTACCCGCTTCAAAAACATTAAGAAAGGGGTAGGATGATCAGGCACGCCATGATCTGGCCAAGCTGTGTACTGTAAATGTCGTATTTCACGTATTTCCCCTCCACTTCTACGCTGCAAACGAAATGTCCGAATAGTATAATGCGCCAATTCAAGTGTATCTAACAGTGCTACCTGAAACAATCAGAAGTAATAAAACCAAATACATTACAACAATAACTCAAATTACTAAATTCGAAACTCCTTCTAATGCAGTTCCAAGTATAAGTTTTCTCTTCCTTAGAAACAACGGTTACTGGTAATATTAAAAGAGTGAAGAATTAATATTTTTTTAAAATTATTTTTTTCTGTACTCACTAATGTTTTGGCTAAGTATGATTGTAGCAATTTAGTTCAAAAATAAAAATAAACTATCTCTTAAAATCGTTCAAAAACTAGTTCTATCTTACATTTCTGGTTGGTTCTAAATGACAGCAGAATGAAAGCAAAATTTGTCTTTATTCTATTCGAAGGAGTATTGTACGAAAGAGTTCACCATTTACCTGAATATAACCATAATGTGAAGAACCTCTACTGGGCCAATACTGATTACATTTGATACGAGACCGCTCTTCCAGTTTTGTCAGCATTACGATTGTTACTGTATTTTCTTCCCAAACCATACGCCAAAAATCAGCAAATGTCTCCGGTAGTGGTCCTTGCGTTGCGATATATGCTTTGGGCTGCAAAAAAGACAAACTAAAATACCGTGAATTACATTCCGATAGAAATAAATAATACTGCATAACAGCAAAATATTTATCATAACTTTTATAAAAAATAAATTAAGATCAAATACAGATCAACTAGAAGTAGTTACGCAAATAAAAACCAAGAGTAGCAATTCAGTTCAAAGTCGAACTAATAAGTTATAACAAAAACGAAAAGAAAAAAACAGATACAAATTACGGTTGTAATTTATATTTATCTTTTTGTAATTAAGAAACAGATATAAATGATAAAAGCAAGAAAAAAAATCACCTTTTCATAACCATCAATGTAATTGGCATTTATGTAGTCACTACCATCGATACCGTCAATAGTGCTCAGAATAACACGTGAATGATCATAAGCAATCACATTTGCATATCGATTCTTCGGCTTATTCATTTCTCGAGTTGAGTTTTCCCATGTAAAATGTTGACCTGTCTCAATGCTTTCATATTCCTAAAAATTCTCTAATGAAAACTTTCTAAAGAAGTGAATTTTTTTAAATGCAGAGCAGTCTTGTCTTTTGATAAAAATATGCAGACTAAAATTGAGTTACACTCAAAAAATTGAATGTTACTCAGAAGAGTAACATTCAATTTTTTGAGTGTAACTCAATTTCTGATTAATTATTTGAAATTTTTGTCTCATTCTTACACTTTCACATGAAGGACCATTTATATCAGAACCATCATCATACATCACAAAGAGTGATCTTTGAAATGTTTGTAATTTCAATACTTTTGTAAAGCCTTACAGCACAAAGTATATCTTTATTTTATCAGTCTAAAAGCAAACCTTTCCTTGAAAAAAATCTTTCCTAACTAATAGAATGGGAAGAGCTTTCATATAGGATAGAATCAGAACGTTCTATGTTTTTTGGTAAAAATTTATTAAAATTTTTCGAGAAAGAAATGTGATAATTAAAAAAGATACCTGTGAAAACAAAGCATTATTATTCATTTTCAGTTTGTCAATATGTGTTGCAAGTTCTGAAATTGGAACTGGTGGATGACTTAAAGAATGACCACCGATAGCACCACCACTTGAAGGTAAAAGTGATATTGGAACTGGTAATGAACTATAAGTAGTGCTCATATGGCTTTGATGCAATGGATACATGTCCATTCCAGAATCAATTGCACAACCCCCGTTTCCATTCATCTGAATTATGCCAAAAATATTTAGATTTTCAACAAACTTTGTACAAAACAGTATTACTTTTTTCATTCAATTAGACAACTGCACAATTATGAATTGTTGTGTGAACAAAATAATAAAACCAACAAAACACTTTCATGAAAGAAAATTACCTGATAGGGATTAACAATATTACGACCGTATATGTCACCAGAAACGAGTAACTTTGATGTTTCACTTGGTATTGTATTACCTGCTAATGCAACTTTTGAGATGGATCCATGTCGAGCTGTTTTATGCCGATTACTTCGACGGTTGCATCGAAGCCACCTTTAAGTGATTCGAAATTATGACTATAAAAGTGTCGAGAGTAGGTTCAAAAGTATTATTTCTTTTATAATAAAACAATAATAACTATAAATTACACGATTAATTAATTATCAAAAGCAAAATGAATTTCATAAATAATGGACACTTGAAATAATCTAATTCAATATTAGAGAATAATTCTATATAAAATAAAACTGCTTAAAGAAATTCAATACACTTTAAATTTTCATCGTTCAAAAATTTAATATATGAACGGGGCAAAATGTTTCAAACAACTGAATGAACTCAGTATTTTAAACTATACAAAATCATAAAAATTCTACGAAAACGAACCAGATTACAAGCATTCCAACAATAATTGCAATAATTAGAACTGCTATTAGTGGTGCAATTAACCACAGATTGGAAGTTTTAGTATCACGAACGTGAGAAGCAACTTTAGTTGAAAATGGCTCACTAAGCATCGAGTCTGAGTAACGTTTTGCTGATGGTTCTTGCATAGGAGCACGAAATTCAAACTAAAAACAATGCATAAGACTAACATTATTGATATTTTTTTCAATTTTAGAAAAAAGTAGCACGACAAGAAGAAAATCCAATTATTTGTTTGATTTTTGGAAAAGATAGATTTTCAAAATTTTCATCACGATTAAGAAACATACAGGGCGATCAGGATTTCTATACGAATCTTCACGTGCAAATGCTCTCATCATTAAACGATACTTGGAATTACTGTCTAGTGGTCTGTTATCATAGCCATCATACATCTAAATTTCATAAAAGAAGCAACTTTTATTTCTAGTCAAAAAATTGTCCTCCGATGCAAGAAACAGAGTTTGAAAAAAAAAAAAAAGAAAATTATAACTTGTCTTCATGTGAATGAGAATTGAAAGTTAAGAAAATATATGCAAATATATTTTCGAAAGAAAAAATTACAGATAAAATTCTGAAATTAGATTAGCGTTTGATGAATACTGAAAAATGATTGCTGAAATATTTTCAACAAATAAAATTAAAACTTTCTGAGGACTATTAAGTAGGCTGATCTATAAAGATGAACAACTGACGAAAGCTGATAAAAATTCTAAATTGAATTAAAAACCAAAAATCAAATTCAATTGAAATAAAAACTTACTCGTCCATCACCAAGCACAAATAAACGATTGTCTCGTTGCAACTGCTGCATTTCATGTACAGGTATACCAGCTGCGATGTATGCTCCTCCGAGACTGCTAGGTTCATGTAAATATCTCCTAAATGTATAGACATCACACTTACGCACTTACGCACTTACGCTTAACAAATTACTCAATCATAGAGGCAGTTGAGAAGAAAATAAAAATCAAATAAATTCAAATAAATTTTTGCTTTGGGAAAAAACTTTAATGATATATATTTTAAAAAACCTCTTATGATTTCGGTGTTTGTTTACTTTGCGCACTCTTTTAATAGCTTTCCCATCGAAATTTTTGTTTGAACTTGAACGTGTTGTAGCAGTACTTTTTTGCAGTGAAGTTGAGTCCAAATTCAATACGTCATCCTTTGAAAGGGATAACATTTTAATATAATATTCTTTTTAAAGAAATCTTTTGTAATTTTATTAAATTCTGAAATGCTTCTTGATCACTCAATTTTATCATACACCATTATTTTGATGATTAACTTGATTAGCTTCATTGGATGCAGTTTGTTTCATTGCTAATAACCTATTAATTACTGGAAAAATATAATATTCGATTAGTAATAACAAAGATAAGCCAGTAACTAATAAATAACTAAACAAAAATCAAGATTTGGAAGATTGAAAACTGAAAAAAAGTAGTATAGTTTTAGTGTATTCATTCGCTCTAATAAATGTCTTAAAGACAAGATAAAATAGAAATTGATACAATGAACCGACACATTTTTTAATGAATAACGTATTTGAAAAATTAGTCATTATTTAACTATAAAATTATATAACGAATTAAACTCTGCTCATTAGAAAAATTAAAGCTAGAAAAAAAAAGAACTTACTTGCGTAAAATTTCCAGGAACAACTACTAGCCAGTAATGACTAATCGGTCCATACTCTTCACTAGCACATTTTAACCGGATCAAAGCTGTACTCGCTCGTTCAGAACTAACAAATTCCGGAATATCTACAAATGGTGGTCCAGTTGGATCTGTCCGAACGATTACTTCACGTGGCCAGTATTCTTTGTCAGAAGGAGGTAATTCACGCACTCCAACGTGAAATGTATATTCCATGTAAGGTCTCAAAGTTGTCCATCTTAAAAATACAGTATACGTCAAAAACAAAATTTTGTGTGACTTTAAATTACAAATTGCTTATCTCTTAAACTTTACTTTCCATACACCATTTAATGACAATTACTTTTAAACTTCAGGCTTAAGTCCTTAAAAATAATTGATATTTTACTTTAAGAGTGAAAGAAACTTATTTCCAATTAAACGTGTGCACTATGATAACAAAGGACTGAGAATAATAAAATGAACGTGGAAGTAATTTGTTGAACTTTCTTCACTTTGAATTTATTTCCCTTCACAATTGAAATTACTGCTGACATGCTCATCAATTTATTCCTCAGCCTTGAAGTCAATATCACTTTATTTTGAATAAATAATATGAAACATTAATGTTATTTTGTCTGATCCAAGTTTAGCTCAAGTTTAATCTCTGTTTCCATCTTTTAATACGGTTAATCGTATGCAAAAAGTTAACACACTAGTTTCAGCAGTAATATCGAAAAGTGCGTACCAAGTAAATGACATTCTTTAAACTGATGCCATAATTTCAATTAAAACTTACCTCCATCTTACAATACATTTGGTTTCTGCCTATACAGACTTTTCACAAGCATTTTTTAGCGCTGTTTTCTACAGACTTTGTGGATTTTCATTTGTAAAATTAAAGTTGTGGATTTTTCTAGAAGCAATTTTTTCGCTTGCGGTGGTGATTGCAATCTTTACATATGATTAAAATTTCAAGCTACAAATATATATATATTCAAACTTACAAGTGCTCTCGCTGATGTCCATCGAGATCTTGTCGAAATCCTGGTGAAATCATGCCTTTAAGTTGCAAATGCTGATCCAGATAATCTTTCCGACCAGTTTGATTTACATAAAACTTGACTGGCTGTGTTCCAGTATATTCCCACCGTAGCATTACAGAATTACTTGTTTTCCAAGCTACTACTAAATTAGAAACCGTATGCAACGGTTGTAAACGATCAATCGTTATCGGCGGATCTGAACAGCTTCCTTGCCTCTGTAAACGTTTCATAAAATTAATATTTCAAAAACTTCTCTAATTTATCAAATATTCCAACAGGAATACTCTTGAAGTGCATTTTTTTGAAAAGTTCTTCTAAAAAGGACATAAAAGTTTGATGCAAAAGTTATAATCAATTTCAAAAACTGATTGATTTTAATTCAATAAAATTATTCAAAAAATTTTCAAATCAACATGTTATTATTGAAACAAAAAAATGATAAAACGAACCAATAAATTTTATAAAAAAGCAAAAATTACAAAAATACAAAATTCAGTAATTATCAGTCTCAAATTCAGAAAAGCTAAGAAAGATGAATGCCACTAAGTTCAATAGCACAACTCTTTAATTTAGCTCAATATGCTAAAATTATATGATTGAATTTATGACAAAACTAACGTGCTGCCGAACAGCCAAGACACAAAATGCATATGGCTTTTTTGCTGTGAGCTGCGAGATCTGTAGATGTCGTGCAGATGGATCCATAACCGTAATTGTATTCCATCGCTCGTTATCACGTTGTCCAGAAACCGGTTCATGTATGTACCGTACCACGAAACCATCCACATTATCATTACCATTCCAATCCCACTGCACCACAGCTGACGTATTAGAAGTTGCTTGAACGCGAACATTCGATGGCGGATAAATGAAAGCTAAATTATTAAATTTCAAAAATATTTTTGTACGAACGTTTTGTTATTGTGAACTAGAATTGCTATACTGCAAACAATAGCTTGATTAGATCAACTAAATTCCAAAATTTTACCCATAATCAAATTGATTGACTCACACATTAGTTAATGTGAATATAATAAATTGTTTGATTGTAAGTAATGCATGAACACTTAGTGAATTAAAGTTTTAGTCTTCATTACCTTTTTATCTGATCTGTAACTTTATAAGACTAGTCGGTTCAACAGTAAGAAGCTAGCACCACATTATAAATGCTTACTTTTTGTTCAGCTTAACATATGGTATATAAATCATTCAGTAGCTATGTAAATGTAAATATGGTTGTTCTTTTCTCTTCGTATAATTTTGATATATACTTTGTATCAAGTAAAGTTACCGTTCTTGTCATTTTGATGCCCTAATAATTGTCGTACAATCGCTGAGAAAACATCAAGTTGTTGGACGGGTTTCACACTTTGCGGATAACTCATGATGAATAAATCGTTATATGATACAAAAATGTTTATTCTTTAAGTACTATTTAATTGTGAACACAAAACACTATACAAAAATACGCTTTCTTTTTTAGAAGATTCAATCAAATAAACGACTCACAAACAATTAAGTTAGATAAAGTCCATGAAGAAAAAATTCCTGAACTATCTATCTCCTTTGCCTTTTACTGATTAAAGAATTCAGGTAATTGAAATTACATCTGTAAACATTTTTAAGGCATTATAAAGATAAGCAACAAACTTTTGTCCAAAAATGACTATTTTTATTTAATTCTTATGTGCTTGCAAAAATATTGAGTGCTATAGACTGTTGTGAAGCTAACTATTGTATAATATTTTAAAAGTTGAGTACGTCAATTTCAAGGATTAATAAAGAATTTGGAAGAGCATGAAAAAGTCAAATACGAAACAATATATTACTTGAAGAATTTCAAATTATTTTGGCATGAAAAAAATTAAGTAAGTTCAGTAACATTAGGAGAACTAAAATCAAATTAAAACTTGAGCGAAATTTGCACAAACGAACAGTTTTGAGAGAAAGACTAAGACTAAGTAATAATAACTACTTGGAATTTAAACGCTGGTTTTACGTCAGCAGCGGAAGTCTTTTTGTGATTTACTTTCTGGTTGGTAAATTTGAATAATTCGAAGGTATTGTTAGTTTTTTCAAAAACCAAAATTAGTTGGTTGGTACCACTAAAGGATTTATTTAAATGTCATTTCTAGATCACAGATTCACTAATAATGCATTTTAAATTTGTTGATCTACAAATTGTCATATTTATAACTACTTCACCGAGCATAGGGGATACTTAGTCGCTAAATCTGAAGTTTGATATTTTTTACTTCAAAAGATCTCCTCCATATATAGCATTGAAACTCAAGCTATCATACTTATAGCTAAAATTACCAAATATAATGGAGGTGATACAAGATCGAGAAAAAAGCATAACTTCCGGAAAGGAAATCGTTGGCCATATTTCACAAAATGTATTTTCATCAGAAAAATTACTCTTATTTTATATCTGCACCGCGTGAGTGATAAATATTTAAAAGAATTTGTGTGAACTTGCTTTCTAACATGGACAAATTTAATATCAGTAAAATTGCTGATAATTTAAGTTCATTGTTAACTTTCTCAATTAATTTAAAAAATTTTTTTCCGCAAATGCTTGATTACCCATAATGACTTTAAGAGGGATGGAAAAAAGTAATAAAAGTACATCAGTATATTTGAATCTTAGCTGTAAAATAAATGCCTTGATATGACTTTGATAATGTCAACCACACATTCAGAACTTTTCAAATCCAGCAATGTATAATTATTTTCCGATGAAATTACTTTATTCCATAAACTAAATGACATTCCTGTGTAACTTCAATTTAAGTAATTGTGCTCTAAAGCAGATATCTCAAACAAGTTTAATTCAGATAATTGCGTATTTCTGAATGAAGGATGCGTTCAAAGATCGAGTGATTTGTTTCTGCTTATATTTATATAACTAGTAATTTCCTTTCTAACCATAAAACTCACTTGCTTATTAATAATGCAAATAGAAAAGTTTAATTAATGAAGAAAACTTTGACTGAGTTCAAGTTCTCACTCGTTAGTTAATAAACTTGATGAAAAAAGGATTGTTCAATGATGAAAAAATGATTGGCAATTTTCGATAGGAAAAGGAGATTAAAATTAATGAAAAAATATTGGCAAAAAAAAATGATCAAAGAATCTTTGGACACTTTTGAAAAAGTGAAATAAGAAAAAAAAATAACATGCTAGAAAGTGAATTAAATCCTATTTGTAGATTAAATTTAGCCTCATTTTCTAAATTAAAATAAATTAAAAACCCATTTTAATATAATTCACAAATTGGATCAACTTTTACAGTGCATAACCAACTGAAATTACGTAATAAACTTACGTAATGATTGTTTACCAACGTGATCAGAACCAAAATTAGTAGTTGCATTCCAGTGGATACCAGTATAGAGTGTACATTTTGCAGTCGTATAATTAGCACTGATCAGTGAGATTTTATCAGTTTTTTCAATGTAAACTGATTCTTTTTTGTCACCTTTATTGAAAAAACTTTCTGGAGCTAAAGAAACTGCAGTTGAAATATTCTCCTGAGTTGCAGAAGGTATAATGGCATGAGTACGATAAATGGCAGGAATATCTAGGGGACCGGGTGCAACCGCATGCACGATAGCATGGAAGTAATCCGCGTTTGAAACCCTAGAATCGCCGTCATCATCGACGATATCTTGCTTAGGTTCAGTAGATACATCTGGATTTTGCAGCCATGCTACCGTTTTGGTTTTTATATTATTCGAATTATCCACTGTTGATCTTAGACGAACTAAAATCAAATGTTGTATCCTATTAGAATGAAGTTTGCGGTTGTTAACAGCCTGCTAAATGCGGAAAATCACTATTCTTAAGTTGAAGCTAATGCTTAAGTCTAGAATCAAGAAGGATAAAAATTTGATAGAGAAAAATGAATTTAAGGAATTTTTGGAATACCTAGTTTCTTGAAACGAAAAAAATACACTGTAAAACGTTTCAAGTGAAATCATGGCCACATATGAATATCGAGACATGCCTGCTGAGGACGAGGTGGATTCTTTCAATAAATGTTGTAAGCGTAGTTTACGTACACGTTGTTGTTTTTGACGTCCCGCAGCATTAGTGCGCATTCGAATTTGACGTGGTTTACGGTTTCTTTCCAGTAACGACCATTTACTCATAACCATTTTTAACGCAAGCGGTAGTTATAGTAAGATAGACGCTACTTGAATTTATAAGTCAAAATTTGGAAGCAAGAAAGACTTATGGCAAACGCAAAAATAATTGCAGCCATATAAAAAAATATTCCAGGTATTTTTGCATTTTTTGTCATAAGCTATAATTATTACTTGAATATTTGACTAATACAGCCTATTCTTTTGAAACAGAAAAAAACTAAGTGCGGTTTCACAGGTGAACAAGCGAACAAGAAGTTGAGCAAGTAAGTTAGTAAATTCAGTGCTATTACAGAACAGTTAGATTTAAAACTCAACTGTGCTACTTTTTAGGCATAAAAATGATGAAAAAAATTCAAAGAAATAAGATCACGTTAACCTGAATTCATTTCACGTCTACAATCCTTATCAAGCAAAAATTCAAAAATTGATAGTAAGAAAGGTGGTTGATCTGTATCACAAATTTTTCAGCAAAAGTATCACAGTTAAGTTTACTAAGAAGTAGGTGACGTCAATAATTCAAAAGTTTATATTCTCATTAACTACACAAAAACAGAATATAAAAAAATTCTTACCTGATTCTGTTTCCTTATTATGTAAATACCTACAGAAATAGCATTTGGTGGAAATCAAAGTCAAATCAAAAAATCTCAATGAAAGTTACAAATGGTAACTCTTTTATTATAATGAAAGCTTTAACTCAAAAAGTTGGCTAAATTACTTCACTTTTAACAATTAGAGTGGATTAAGTGAAGAAAAAAAATGACTCCTTGGTATAGATGTTTCTTTTCAGATTCCTACCAGCAAAAAATATATGTGAAACTGTAAAAAAAGAAAGACAACTAACTTAACTGTGGAATATAAACTAAACAGCACATGCGCAAGAAAAAATAGCAAATGATGGATGGAAATGACTAAAAGGAGAAATGATAACGAGTAAGTAGCGGTACTCTCTGGGGGATTTAGAGTATTCCTGGAACTGATTTCAGGAAAGTAATTGATAGGATGCAAAGAAACGACCAGGTTAGTGATATGAAATAGAATAAACAATAAGTAATGCTTGTTAGTTTATGCTATCTTACACTACAGCGATACTATTTATGCAAAAAATAAAAACTAGGCAAATACTAACAGTAAGTGAAAAAATTAAAACAAGAATTAAACAAAATTTTCCTGCAAATAATTCCAAGCTAAAAGAATATCAAGGCAAAACAAGAAGCTTAATGCTAATTAGTTGCTAATGGATATTTCTTCGCTAATGGACACTATTGAGAGAACTGATTAGATGAATGATGGTAACCAGTGCTGTTTCATTACCATCTGCTAATACCATTTACAGAAGAGGTCAATTCTGTGCTGAATAAACCATTATATAACATAATAATTCAAAGTTACATTCATTAGCACTACATTTATTAAATTAGCGATGTAGAAATTTTGTAGAAAAATTTATGTTTAAAAGAGATTAGAAAGTTACTAACAATAATTTCAATATGGCACTTATTGATCAGAATTATTAATTATAATAACAAGTGTAAATTCAAAGATTATGACTGATTTGAAATCAAATGCATAGAAGGTTTTATAAACTTTCTTAAGCTTAAAACTGTATTAATATTTTATTGTAAACAAAGTGTTAACTAGTGCCATTTCTTACCACTCTTGCTTGATGTAAGTATTGATGCTAAATGATATCTGCTTGCTTCTTTTCAATAAGCTAATACTCATGCATGATTTCTTATGATTAACCTTTATAATATTGGGTTGATTTTTTAAAAAATGCCAAAAAATTAGCGAAATGAGAAATATTTGTCAATTTAGCAACATGTAATGTTACACGCATGTACAGGTGCAAAAAGTTTCAATAATATATTTTGTTGTTTGCCATATTTTAAATTGGTTTCAAAAAATATAATTATAGTTTAGCGAATGAAAAACAGAGTCAAATTGTTGAGAAGAACGCTTTTGCTGAGATTGAAATTTTATCTTAGACTTCATCTACAAAAATAAAAAGCAAGTAGTATTCATTATCATCTACCTAATGGGATTTTAAACTGCACAAAAAAAATCGATTCAATCTACATAAGTGAATAGACTAAAATAAATCCCCTACTTTACTTTTATTTCAAAAATAAAGTGTATTACTAAAAGATTTAAAAAGTACTGATTAATGATAATTTCTGAATTTAAAATTGTCCGCTGATTTTATATATATAACTTGCAATATGATTAATTTTGATCACAACTTGTTATTAATGAATAATATCCAATTCATACTTCTATTATGGACATTATTTCATTGTCTTGTTTTGATAAAAATTAGCTTAAACTGAATATTGTGAGTATGTCACCAAAATATAAAAATGTTTGCTTTTAAAAGTAGAAAGAAAAATTACTCAATCTTAAATACTTAAATTTTTATCACTTCAAAAACGAACTTTAAATATGCAACAAAAGTTATCAAATAAAAAGTTCTTAGTTTAAGGGTATAGTACTAGGATAGAGATTTGAAGCGTTACTCAAAACTTGACAAAAATATCAAATCTGAAGTAATGTTTCAGGATATGACACGCACATACAAGATTAGTGCAATTTGCCTTTAAAGGAATAACTTTGCTATGAAATTAACAAGTATCACGCACTTAAAATGCTTCACAGTCATTACAATTTGTAAAAAAAAGGTTTTTTTTGTTAAAATTTGAAAAATTAATTGAAAACTTACAAGAAACATATTTCACCGTTTAATTTATTAAGTTTTCTTTTTACAGCTATAATTTAAGAAATCCTTTTTCATGAAAGAATACTTTTTTATTTGTCTACGACTTGAAGGAAAAGTAATGTAGAAACAGAAATTCATTCATGTTCTAATTACCAACTTTTTGTTTTATCTCCTCCAATTTACAAAATATGCATATTTAATTAATTGAGAATTTTTTGCTGCAAGCAGAGATAACAAATATGACTGACTTACCAGTAAATTAATTGTCATACCACCAGTTTTTATCAAGCAAATATTTGTGAAACAATTGATATGATGGAAATTATATGGCTTACCATGATCTTGGGCACAAATTCGTTGAAAATACTGCAGAAAATTCTTCCAAGCAAGTGAAATGCCATTGATACTTTCGATAGCCATAGTCCAATTTGGTGATAACTTGCTTGTTAAAGCATCAACTTTTTCGATCAGTAACTTATGACATTCTTGAGTCGTACGATAGTGATGCTGTTGTTGTTGATGATGATGATAACGATAAGATTCGAAACCAGTATCATTGGTTTTATTACTATTTACAATTGTTGGTAAGTTCTGATCTGATGACGCAAACGAGCATATTTCAGTATAGAAGTCGTCAAAATTTATCCATGCTTCTTTGATACCATCAGTATTTGCAATATGATATTTCCAACCGGCAGAAAGTTGATTGGCTAAGTTTTCAAATTTTTCCAATAAAGTATTCCGACAATTCTGAAGATTTAATTCATTTTCTGATCCACTGACTTCAGCTGCAGTTATATCATTATTGCTGGAAACGATTTTGAATATTCCAGTTGTAGCCATAAATTAGCTTATTATTGTCTAATTAGATTGATTCATTAATCGTCTAACAGCATGTAATATTGCTGCAATTTCTTTCAGTACCATAAGAAAATAATCGTTTTGTGATCCGAATATGAGTTGGTAACAAAAATTAAAAAAAAAAGAAAGAAGAAATAGAAGTAAATGACTGAAGAAAACCAGCAAAAACTGAATACTAAGCAAGGATTACTGATATTAGAAAAAATGATCATAATTGAAAGAACAATAAATATTCCATGCTGATTAATTAATTGATTAGTATTATTAATATTACTACTGCCTTATGATTGCAAATAAGACAGAAATTAACAAGCAATATGGATTGAATACAAAAAATTCATAATAAAAAATCCATCTATTCATTTTCACGAAAAAAAGATATTCAGAAAATAATAACAGTGATAATGCCATTAATGATAATGCATAAAAAACATTAATAATCGTGGAAATAATTCTTAT